CTGCCAGGCCCGAGGCAGCAAACTCAGGAGCTTCCATCTCTGTACCTGAGAACAAGCACGACGCATTACAGCTTTGAAGAATCCGTGGCCTGCAAAGGACGCGCACGGCGTGCATCTGATCCGTCACTGGCGACGTGTACGAACACGTGATGCCCTGCGCAAGCAACTCCAGAATGCCGAACCGCATGGGCCCAGCATCGGGCTTGGCCGCGAGGTAATCATCAAGAGTCACCGTGGTCCAGCGATCATCTACGAGGAGTGGGTAGCGAGCGTGGGGGTGAAGAACAGCCTGAAGTCGACCAAATCGAAATCGATGTGGCGTGCAGTCGTAGAACTTTGATATCACGGGGGACGCTCGCAGACACTGCATGCGTGAGAGCTCCGCCGAAAGCCACTCGGTCTGGTCCTCGATGGCAGCCGCGGACACAGCTGCCACCATATCCAACCCACGGTGGTGCCCATCGATGCCTTCTCTCAAGCATTTATTTTTACCAATCTGGAGCCAGCTGTTGATCAGCACCTGGTGCGGGCTGTACTGGTTGCAATGCAAAGCGTGGTCGCCGTGCCCAACCATGGTTCCAGATCGCAGGCGTTCTTCGTTCCATGCCGTCTGCAACGGCTCGTAGGCATCTGCGTCCTCGCGGCGCTGGTCTTCCGATCTCTTCAGCCTCTTGCAAGCGTGCAGAAACTGGGAGTGCGCTGGGCCGCCGTACAACGAACCGCTAAAAGAAGACTTCGACGATGTCGGCGAAGACGAAACTAGATGGAGGCCTCGTGTGAGAGAAGCCAAGGTTGGCGCGCCGCCAGCCTGCGCATCAGGGTGCCCCTGCGGCTCTGGCCTGCGAGGCCGATCGCCATCAGTGTCTCTAGGGGCACATCCCAGCGCGTGGAGGCCAGCATACAAATCTGACAAGTCCATGGCTGCCGATGACGACGATGGCAATAGATGCGACCGGACGCTTCAGCAATCCTCTAGGGGGCAGGCGTTTCAGCATCACCCAGGGTGGGTGGGGCGGCGCGGGGGCGGCGTCGACTACATGAGGGACCGTGCCAGAGCCCCAAGAAGGCCCCGACAACGCTCCGGGAGAGCCTTAAGAGGCACCACGAAGACCCCAAAGCGCCCAAAGACACGCAACCTATCCCCCGGAGCGCCTGGGATAGCCCCAAGATTCCTTCAAGTGGCTCGCAGAAGAAAGACTATCACTAAGAAGAGGAAGTGTGGCAGGGACCAGCTGCAAATATGTCAGAAAGCTTTGGGAGTTCAACGGCGTGCCGACGACCATGCAGGCTTCCTTCGCAAGGCGGGCCGAATTCGTTTTCATAGAGGCGTTGCCACATTTTTCACGCAGGCGCGCTGAACGGTTTTGTACAAAAGCGCTGTTTGGGCTGAAAGGAAACATAAAGATTGATCAAACGCGCTCTCGGCGAACAGCCCGATACCAAAAAGTATTGCATTTCGCTATAGAACACAACCAATGCAGAACCTGGTGCGCAACCGATTTTACATACATCGATACGTGGTTAACGCCACTTTCCTTACTATAAGGGAATGGTACAGAAAATGGTCGCGTCGCCAGCGGAACTGCAATTTTATGCAATCCGTCGCGATCCAATTTGTAGCGCAAGTGCTATACAAATGAACAACACGTTGACTTCTGCTTCGTCAGAATGTAACAGAAACGGATAAAACGCAGAAAGAAACACACCACATGTCAAAACCGTTCCGCGCAGTTGGCTGCCACGGTGCGGAGATATGATCAAAATCTTTTTTTTTTTGCACGCTGATTCTCATGTTTCACATGTTTTGCCATGCGCGCAAATTCACCTACTGATTGGTCGCGGATGACAGCGCTTGCGTGCACGAACAAAATCGTTGAGACGTCATATCGTTTGGGTGCGATAGCGCGCTCCCGTAAGATATGCACACACCAAGAGCTCATAATCAAACTGTCTGGATCCTAAGAAAAAAAACGTTTTCCAGAAAAAGATAAAGAGGCATGAAACATCGCAAAAGCTGCGGTTTGAAAAGGCAGGCGCGACATATACAAATACACGCAATCCTATAAGATTCCTGATCATTTCCGTCGTCAATCTGAAAAGGCTGCCCAAAACGATGTTTTTAAAAAATTGACAGCATTTCCCCCTTCAAATATGCCAATTATATGGTATCTCTGCCACCTCATTTTCGCAGTCCTGGGCGAAATCAAAAAAAAACAGCCTTGGAACAATTGAAAGCTCCACCGCTTTCAAAAATAATTCTGTTCAGCGCAACGATTCCATCGTCCGTCGTGCCCCCCCCCTGTTTTCAGTGCAGGGCGCTGGAAAAACGAAATATTTTTCTCCTGGGATAATGATTTTCTTGCAGCGTTTGAAAATCGACGAATTACTATTTTGTATTATTATTTCTTTTTAGATTGTTTCTGAAACATGTTGTTTTCATTGATTAGTTGTATGTGTTATTGTTTTATGTTTATTTGTTTTGTTCTTGTCTATTTTTTCTTTTTTCTTTTTTCTTTTTTCCCAGGTTTTTCGCAAAGGCTGTGTTCCTGGTACCATGGAGCGGCCCAAAGAATGACCTTCCAGGGCGGGGGGGGGGTAGGCCGGCGCCGGACGCTCGGTGGCACGGTGGTCGGAGTGACGGCGGCGCCGGGGGGGGGAGGGGCGCCGCACGGTCCGCGGCAAAGCCTCGAGCGAGGCCAGCATTAAGTCGGGCTTTCCCCCTACAGGGGGATTTTCGAGGAAAAATTTTAAACAGTCAAAAAATATGCAAAAATCGCCAGGAAATGCTCAAGGAAGCGTCCCCATACTAATTTTTGGCTATTTTTGAATATTCTTCCTGTAGAAGGACAGGCCCGACTCAAGGCCAGCACCGGGATGAGTCGCTCCAGAGCGTCATAGGACGCTCTCAGGAGAGTTCACGAGCGCTCTGGGAAGACCACGGCGCCCGACGCATCCTCCAGAACCGCTGGATCTCGGAGATCCCCGATCCCGTTCCGATGTTTTTCTGCTTCGTGTTCTGTTTCCATGTTGGGGGGCGAGGTGGGGGAGAAGCGCTGCTGGACGGTTGGCCGCATGGACCTCCGACCTCTCGGCCACCTGCCCACGGCCGGCTCTTCTTCGCGAGCTGCTTTCTGACGGTCCCGAGGCCCTGTCGGGGCCCCGAGGGGCCGAAGACAACTTGATTCTTCGACACGCCGGATGTCTGGGCCAGCAGTTCATCCTCCTGGGAGGGCGCTGAGGGGGGGGGGGCGCCAAACGCTCGATCGCACGGTAAACAGAACCCGCCAGGGTGGGCGCGCCCAGAGGCGGCATGTGCACCGGACGATTGCTCGCACGGTCGGAATAGCCCTCCAGGGAGAGCGCCGGGATACGTCCAGGCCGTCCTCCAGGACGGCACCTCCAGGGTGTCAGGATACCCGCCAGGACACCTCCAGGACCAGGGCTCTGTCCAGGAGGCCTCCAGGACACATCCCAGGGAAAGCGCCAGAGAGGGGGGGGGGGTGGCAGACTGTCGGTCGCAGGGTCGGGCAACTGCAGTGCGGGATCACACCGGCAGGTAGACAATCACAATCAACGAACCGAGCTGTCCTCCTCCTCCTCCTCCTCCTCCTCCTCCTCCTCCTCCTCCTCCCTGTTCTTCCTCCTCGTCCTCTTCCTCTTCTCCTCCTCTTCCTCCTCATCTTCCTCCCCCTCCCTATCCTCTTTCTGCTCCTCCTCCGTCGTGACCCGGCAACGCAAGCCACCCACATCCACGTCCACCCAGCGTCCTCATCCCTCCAGTGCTGCTCAGGTGGCCCCAAGGAGGACGAGGAAGGGAAAGCACGGGCAGGGAGGGGGAAGAAGGGAAGCGACGAAAGGGGAAAGGACGAACCCAACCTGAACTTAGTCCTTGGGAGGAGCCCCCCGAGGAACTTGGATTGCTCCGGCGACTTCTCGGGGGGCTCACACCGAGCAGCGAGGCGGGCGGCTGCTTTGCATGTTGCGTAACCTCCGCAGGTCACGCAGAGAACTACAGGGACATCCGTCTCCACCCTCCTGGCCCAGTGGAACACATGCCGCTCGCCTCCTTGGCCTCTCAGCAGAGCGAACAGGGTAGGCCTCGGCCTCAAACACTCAGTGGAGGCGTCGGGTCTCACGAGTCGCAGGCATCTGCGGCATCGAAAGCTCGATCCGTGATGGATCAGGACATGGTGAACTACTTTGGGCGTTGGTCCTCGCAGGCCTCCGAACACGCTTGAGATGGGCCTCGGAGCTGGGCCAACACGACAACGTAGAAACCATACCCAGGACTAAACTGCTGTATTCAGGCTCGGCCCGCCCGAAAATCAAGACGCAGCCGCGAGGTCTCGCCTTCGTCCGCGCTGCCTTGCACTTCGCCGTGCATCACATGAGCTTCTGCAAGTGGCGATACTTGCGCAGCTCAGAGCGCGAGGTCTCACCTTCATCCGCACGAAAATGGCAACGGTTGCGCAGTTCGCAGACGCCGACGGAGCCGCCAGGTTTCGCCTTCACCCGCGCTGCCCTGCACCCCGCCGTGCCTCCCAAGAGCCCACGGAGGGGGTCCAGCGGTCCAGCGTCCGACGGGGGGGGGGTCTGGCGCCCCGCGGGGGGGTCCGGCGTCCCACGGGGATGCACAGTTTGCAGTCCCCGACCGAGCCGCGAGGTCTCGCGGCTCGGTCGGGGCCCACGAAAGCGGCGACGGTTGCGTTGTTTGCAGCCCCCGCGGGAGCGCACGAGATGCATGAGGTGGGCGGAGGAGGAGGAGGAGGAGGAGGAGGAGGAGGAGGAGGCAGGTAGGGGGAGCAGGCAGGAGGAAGGATGGACGGAGACGCGCGAGCAATGCTCTGTGCAAAACGAGACCCCGGCACGGGAAGGTTGTGAAAAAGAAGTCGAGGAGCAGGAGGAGGAACAAGAATAGGATGACCAACACGGGGAAAAAGATGCAGAAGCAAGATGATGAAGGACATGGACGCCCTTCCCCCGCCTCCCAACCCATGCGCCTTCTTTGGATGGAACGCTGCCGCAACCGGATTGCTGCAATCCACGCCAGTGCACACACCGTCACTGTAGATATCGTAGTCGTGAATCTCCCCACCGGGCTTACGCGACTGGAGGACGACAGGGGGAATGAAGAGGAAGAACATCGAACACACACACACACACAACGCCGAATACCGAGGTGTACAAAGGCCATGCGTGACGACAGTGATGCCAAACCGATTGTGAACTGCTATCCTGTGCAAGCGTGACAATGCCCGTACCATGCTCTATACCAACCAGCCTCGAAAGGTCAGAACATCATACAATTGAACAATATGAATACTACTCTCCCTTCTCGAGGGTCTGTGGGGGCTCTCTTGGGGGTGTCTTGGTGTTCTGTTGAACTGTCTTGAGGTTCTTTTGGGCGGTCCCGGGGCCACTTCGGGCGATCTTGGGGGCCTCTGGGTGGCTCCTGGGGGCCTCTTGGAGATCTCTTGGGGCGCTCTGGAGGTCTTCCAGTAGGCCTTCGAGAGGCCAACGACAAGCTCCCAGAAGGCCCCAAGAGTCCTTCTCTTCCTCCTCCTCAGCCTCCTCCGCCTCCTTTTCCTCCTCCTCCTCATCCTCAATTCCTTTTCCGTTTATGATCCTGACGCTGAAAATTGGCAGCAGTTTCGCAGATGGAGGGCGGGTTGCTTCGAAAATGTGGCTCTCGCCTGAGCGCCGCGCACAATCGTCTTTAAACATTGGTGCGAACTTTACAGATTGAGGACAGGTCTTTTTCAACATGTGGTTCTCGCCTTAGCGCCGCGCGCTCTTGTATTAAATATTTGCAAGAGCTTCACAGATGGAAGGTGGCTCATTTTCCATATGTGGCCCTTGCCATAGCGCCGCGCACATTCGTCCTCAACAGTTGCAAGAGTTTCAGATATTCCCATGGTTAGAGAAGAACCAGCAACAATGTTTTGGGGCGAGTTAAACTTGCTAGAGCGCAGCACTTAAGTTCATTCGCGGTGCCGAAATCTCAGGAATGGCGATCTGCCACGAGTCCGGATCGCAAATACGCAACAGTCGTGCTGATTCGTGGCGCTGAAGTCCCAAGAATGGTGTTTGGGGACGCTTCAGGATCTTCAAACGGTTGACTCCCAGCGGGGCACTTCCCTCGGTGTAAATGTAATGCGTCCTTGTAGGCTGTAGGCGCCTGTGAGGAGGGAATTTGGAGGGAGGGTGCAATCCAAGATTCTTCATGGATCTCGGGTTTACACTGGTCCTCCTCATCCTCCTTCTCCTTATGTACTCGTCCTCCCTCTCTTCCGCTTCCTCTGTCTTCTCCGCGTGCTCCCCGAAGGGTTTCCACAAAGGCTGGGGGAACACATGGGCCACATTGGCGATTCAAAGGCTGGGGGCGGCGGTGATTGGCCGCAGGCGTCTTCGACAATGTATGGGTAGCGCGGTAATATGTTTCGTAAGTGAAGGAGGTGCCCATGCCATCACCCACCTCTGAAACAAAGATACCTGTATAGAGAGAGAGAGAGGGAAAGAGAGAAAGAGAGAGAGAGAGAGAGAGTCAGAGAAGGGGGAAGTCGCGTCAAGCATGCAAGCCATTGGAAGAGGCCACCACCTGACCTTCGCAAAATACACCTCCTCGCCCTATGCAGGAGAAGGCAATCATGATGCGAGCGTATCAACTGCACGCAAGCACCATGCCTGTGAGATGGCCGTGCGAATGCAGGACGATCGGTAACAACCCAAGCGGCGACCAGACGGCGCACCACCCAGAGGAATCCGTGAGAACTAAAGCGTTCACCTGGAAATGCCCAACCCATAGAAAGTCCTCGGGATACATCGGGGGCCACACGGCGAACTGAAAATGCGCAACACGGCGACCAGACAATGCGTACCCAATGTATACACGAGAGTCCAGGCGGCGACCGGGCTGTACGCGACCCACGGGAGTCAATAAGCACCCATAGCGGCGACCAGAAAGTGCGTCAAGGCCAGGCAACTATTTAGTTTAGAGATCCGAGAATTAAGACTTCCAAGGCATGTGGCCTGCAACGGGGGCCGAGGAACGCTTGGCTGCGCACTCCTGCGCATTCGGAGCGGGGAGGCGATGGACGATTGGCAGGAGGGCTCTCCTACTGCCTCCATCTGCCAGCTCCCCACGCCCACCGACTGCACGCCCAGGTAGTCAAGGCAGTGGCCCATGTACCAATCTTCGCCCCAGTCCTGGCGTCCGCACACGAAGCCAGAGCATGGAACGGGACACATCCAAGATCGCACGTCTCTCTATGGGATCCAGCGTTTTGCAAGCTCCCTTGATGATTGATCCAGGGAACACCCGGACGATTCAAAGTGCGTCTCCACACGTTGCCATTCACCATGCTTGTCCGTGCCCTCCTCCCCCTCCTCCTTCCCCTCCTCCTCCTCCGCATCTTGCTGCCCTTAGATACTTGAGCATCCGTGCCGTGCTGAACCAGCTTCAGCCCACACCCGTATATGATCTCGCGCTGCGACGTGGAGACGCGCGTTCGGAGGAATGGGCGGAAACGAAGCATCGCCAACCAAACACCCCCCCCACCAACCACGATGATGCTGATGATGGTTATGATGATGATGATGATGCCGATGGTGATGCTGATGATGATGATGATGATGATGATGATGATGATGGTGCTGCTGATGCTGATGCTGATGCTGATGCTGATGCTGATGATGATGATGATGATGATGATGATGATGATGATGATGATGATAATGATGATGATGATGATGATGATGATGATGATGATGATGATGATGATGATGATGATGATGATGAGATGATGATGACGATGATGATGATGATGCTGATGCTGGCGCTGATGTTGCTGTCGATGAGGATGGCGAGGAAGAGAACGAGGTGGATGAGGAGGATGATGAGACGAAAGCTACCGCTCACTGACCGGTTCGCCGTGCGGTGCGGTGAGAGCCCAAGGTCTGAATCCCAGCGTACGCGCTCCTTGTGGTGAGGGCGCATTTCTGTAAGAGACGCGTCCCGCACGGGGGGATTCCCCCGAGGGATCAACAAGAAGAGGCTCGACGAGAAGGGGGCTCCTCGTCCACGTCCAGAACCCCAGCGAAAGATCCCTCAAACGGGCACGCCGAAACCGAAACCTAGACGCCTGGCTCGGACCAGGCCTCGGAACCAGGAGAAAGCCTTCCAGCGGCAAGGGCCTGAAGCACCATCTTGCCCCAGCCGCCTACTCTATCAGGGCGACAAGCTTTGCCCAGCTTGACAGCTCTTCCCCCCGCGCCTCTTGCCACACAGTCCTGGCACGAGAATGGGGGCTTCTCCACCCCCTCCCTCTCCTCCTCCTCCGCATTCCCCTCTTTCTCTTCCTCCTCCATATCCATATCCCTCGTCCTCCACCTGCACGTCCCTCTTCTGCACTTTCACACACTGCCACGGCACCCCAGCCCCAGAGCGCCCCGCCCCTCACAACGGGTTACAACATGCCCACGGAGGCTGGGGAGGGGGACGGGGGGATGACGAGGAGGGCGAGGGGCGAGGGAGGACCTCACCCCCTAACTTAGTATGAGTTTCCCTTGACGCGTGCGATGCTCCATCAATCGCTCGGGCCTCCCGAAGCCGCGTCTGGGCACCTGGGCCCTCAGAGAACGATGTGGGATGAGACACCTGGCCCTGGAGAGATCCGAGAGGCCTGGGCAGCACGCATCGACAACGTCTTGACGGCGGAGGTCTGGGGAGGGGCAGTGCACCACCGTGTGCCTGTGAGCACCACCGCGCCTGTGACGCTTGCGTCGCGCAGCGGCGCAGGCCTGCCTGGCGTGCCCCGCCCCCAGCCCCGGAAACTGTCACCTGGCAGGGTGTGTGTGTGTGTGTGTGTGGCTGGGACCCAATAGCCCGGATTACCGCCGGAGCCCAACGACACTCCCTCATACAGTCAACCCGTATCAGGAGGATGCGCGATAAGGACGCAAGGGCCTTGGAAGGCCATGTCGACACCTTGCGAGCGGGGCGCGGCCAGCGAAAGCGGCCAAGGATGGGCCGAAGGGACAAGGATGCAAGGGTACCCATGGGAAGGGTGCCCGTCCTTACTATGCGGGTTGACTGTAAGGGTAGGTCAGTCTGAAAGCCTTCGTAAAGACGGCGTGCAGACTGATGCATTGCCGAGGCCGATCGACATAATTTGTCCTCCTCTTCCTTTTTACGTTAGACCGATCTGAGCGTGAAGCTGTGGCGTTAGTGGTGGCGGAAAAAAAAACACTCGGGTCAAAAAACACCTGGCGGGCGCCGCGGAGAATGACAGAGAACGAGCGCTCCTCCTCCTCCTCCTCCTCCTCCTCCTCCTCCTCCTCCTCCTCCTCCTCCTCCTCGCTCCTTTCCAAAATCCCTCATCCTCCCTCCTCCGTCCTCTCTTCTCTCTCACCCCTCCCGTCCGGTGATCAGGAGCCCGTCGCTCAAATCCCCGCCTTGCCAGCCTGGATAAGACTCTGGAAAGGGAACGACTCTGACGACGATTCGCCTGATGATCTCCCTCCCCCTCCGAAATCCTCCTCCTTCCTCCTTCCCGTCGTCAACATTCGGTGGGTGAGTAGCACTGCGGGTCACAACCATAAAAAGGATAAGCTGTGACCCAAGGATCGGGCAGGCACAACCCTCGGATTCCCGAAGGACGACCCAGGGAAAGCCAGCCACTCAACCACGGAAAGCGAGAGGGGGCGACCCACGGAAGCGACAGGGGGCAACACGGACGCCCTGTTGGAGCCCTGTCAGAACCCTCCGAGTCCAAGGCGTCTTCAGGGGAGGCCCTCGAGCGGTCACGCGCCAGAGCTCTCGTGTGGCCGCTCTTGGGGCTCCTCTTGAGAGTTGAGAGCCTCTTGGGGCTCTCTCGGGACCCTTCGGGACGGCACTTGTTGTTCCCGGGTGGCGCTTAGGGGCTCCGACCTATAGCTTCGAGACCAAAAAGGACCGAACAGGGGTCACGCGCAAGAGCTCCCGCATGACCGCTTTTGGGGCCCCTCTTGGGGGCCTCTCTTGGGGCCCCCTCGTGACCCTCACTTCTTTTCGGCCCCCGGGCACTTAGCGCTGATGGGGCCCTTCCAAAATGCGGACCCTCCCCAGCTTGAAGATCTACAGTGCAGATCTTCGACCCGGGCTCCCTTATGGCGCCCCAGTGGCGCTCCTAGTGGGTCCTGGGTCCCCTCCGCCCCCCCCCCCCGGGACATCTCTCTCCCCCAGATCTCGAGATGTGCGCTTTCTCGCGGCGCCGGCGTGGAGATCTACAGTGTAGAATTTCATACGGGGCGCTCTTGGCGCTCCAGTGGGGGCCCAATGGTTACCTGCCCCTCCCCCCCCAGTGTTTCACCCCCCCGGGTCCGAAAATGCGAGCGTCTTCGGGCCCTAGAGCGCTCCCTGGCGGCCCATGGTGCCTTCCCGCGGATCTTCTATCAAACAGTGGGTCCTCTTGGGGCGCCAGCGTGAAGATCTACAATGTAGAGTTTCATCCTGGGCTCCCTTGGCGCCCCAATGGGGTACCCGGTTGATTCTGACAGGACTCGCCCCTCACGGTTTTCTCGTCCCCCTCCCCCAAAGTGTGGCCCCTTTTGGGGCACCAGAGTGTGGGTCTTCGTGTTGGGCCTCCTCAACTCCCGAGTCAGGACCCCAATGGGTTACCTTGCCCACGCTCCCAGGGTCTCTTCCTCGAGTTCCCAAAATGTGAGGGGCAACGATCGGGGGGGACTGGCATAGGGGGGGTTGCATCGACCTGGAATCGGCGATACATCGCCGATAGATCGGCGATCGGCCCCTGCTAGTGAATCCGCACCTTCCTGGGCAGGTTGGAGCTATCGGGCCCCTATCGGCGGTCAATGGGCACTTGCGTGTCGATGCATCCCCCCTATGCCTGCCCCCCTCCCTATCGCTGCCCCTAAAAATGTGGATTCTCGTGGCCCCCATTGTGAAGATGCGCAGTGCAGGTCTTCGTCCTGGGCTCCTTTGGCGCGCCATCGGGGTCCTCACTGAGCCATCTTGGGCCTGCCCAGGGTTTCGTTCTCTCCGAAATCTCCGCATGTGGACCCGCCCCAGCCTGGAGATCGACGGCGTAGATCGTCGACCTGTGCTCTCTTGGCGCGCCGGCGGTGTCCAAAGTGGGCCCCTTGGCCACTCCACCCAGGGATCTCTTCTTCCCCGAGGTCCCCACAGGATGTTGTTTGTCAAATGTGGGGATTTGTTTGTATCGGGTCCCCAAGTAGAAGCTTTCTTGGGGCCCCAGCGTGGCAATCTACAGTGCAGAGCTTCCTCCCGAGCGCCCTCGGCGCCCCCTAGTGGGGGCCCCAACGGGTTGCCTCCCCCACCCAAACAACGAGTTGTTCCCTCTGGGCCCCACGGATACGAAACTCTTGGGGCCCCCGCGTGCTCCCCTGGCGGCCCAGTGAGCCTCCCTCCCCCCCCCCCCCAGGAGCTCATCCTCCTGGAAGTGCCGGCCTCGGACTGAGCTGAGAGCCCTCTTGGGGCTGCAGCTTGAAGATCAACAGTGTGGATCTTCATCCTGGGCCCCCTTTGCGCTCCAGTGTGGCTCCCCCAGTGAATCAAATTCTTTGCTCCCCCCCCAGGATCGTCTCGCCCCCGAGGTTCCAAACTTTAGGCCTCTTGGGGCCACGGCGTGAAGGTCTACAGAGTGGATCTTCATCCTGGGCCCTCTTGGCGCCCCAGAAGGGGCAGTTTGAGGCCGTCTACGGGCTTCTGGAAATGCATTTCAAACCGTCTACAGGCTGGGGAAGTTTTTCTCCCAACGCCGCCACAAGGTCCAATGCCGCATAGCAGGAGGCTTTGTGTGAGCGATGGTTGCACTATGTGCCACAGTGGCCGAACACACTGCGCTTCGGATGTCCACACCCACTACCCCGGTTACTGCGCAGTGATTAAAGATTGCCCCATTTTGACGGATCGGCAAAAGTGCATCCTGCGTCCGCAATGCGAGCACAAGTCGCTAGTCGCCCTGTGAGGGACGTGGAGCCTGGTACAATCTTACGGGGCAGGTGCCTTGCTTCCGGGGCGGAGGACAGCCTGGGATTTGGTACCTTTTTTCAAAGCTATATTACGCCAAACAGGATGGCGGTTCGGAAACGGCAAACCGCGTGGGACATCCTCACAAAAATGGCTGAATTGACGGTTCGAACTCGGTTCGAAACAATAGAATCCGGTTCGACACAAAAGCAACATATGAGCGTTTCGCGTGGGATTTCCCGCAAAATACGGCGTCTGACCTGGTTCGAAACAAAGAATGGCGGTTCGAAAACGGCATATCGCGTGGAACATCCTCACAACAATTGCTGTCTTGACGGTTCGAACTCGGTTCGAAACAATAGAATATGGTTCCAAATACTTCGAAGACGCATTTCGCTTGGGACTTCCTTCAAAATACGATTGGAACCTGGTTCCGCACAGTGGGATGGCGGTTCCAAAATGCCAAACCGCGTGGGGCGTCCTCGCCAAAATGGCTTTCTTGACGGTTCCAAATGGTTCCAAACAAGGGAAGTGGGCTCCGAACAATTGGAAAACGAGCGTTTCGCTTGAGACGTCCTTGGAAATACACGTGGAATCTGGCCCCAAACAGGTCCCAAACAAAAGAATCGCGGGGGACATCCCCTGCAAATGGCCTGCGCCCCATTCCAATCAACGACGGCCGCGGCGCCGACTCAGGCAAACCAAGCCAAAACCAGTTCAAACCAGAGGCCAAACCAAGAAAATTCGGAGGAAGTCTCAGGCGGTTTGCGCCGCCCAACCAAGCGAAAGCAGGCCAAACCAGGGCCCAAACCAGGCAGATTTTGAGGACGTCCCCAGCAGAATCGCCCAAGCCAGGCTCCACCTACTCTCCTTAAGAACATTGCAATTTTGAGAGTGGATCACCCCGGGTCCCCCCCCCCGGCGCGAGCCCGGTTAGAATTTTATAGGGGGGCGCGTTTAGACCACATGTCCGGTGAGGCGGACGGGGATGGGTGCGGAAGGTTTCGTTTGTCTTTCGTTTTTTTGTTCCGCACTCCAATTTCCAATGCTCCTGAAAGTCATGAAAACTCAACTTGCAGATCCATACGCCGATGGGGTCGATCTGTATGACAAGCTGGAATGGCGATGCAAGAATCTCCTTCCGCAGACTAGCTGGCTAGCTTGACAAGGGCCACGAAGCCCGATGACGCTACGACGACAGCTGAATCCACGCCACATCAGAACCGCACTCAAGGGGTCGGCGGGGCCCACACGTGGTCGGGTGCCTCTTTTAGCGCCGCCCCGAATTCCGCCTCATCAAGCTTGCCGTCGCCATTCGTGTCGAGCTTGTCGAAATCGGGGTACTCCCCGTTCGTGGGCAAGAAACCCTCGTTGCAGCCCCACGTCGACGAGGCCAGGGACGGCGGGCGCAAGGCGACCGAGGTGGGGTCGGCAGGATCTCTGCAGCAGCTCTGATAGACGGGATCGTAGCACATGGCCTCGTTATACCCGGCGCCGCAGCAGCGCAGCCCCTTCCCACAGATCGTCGACGTGACCGAGAACATGCAGCAGTTCTGCGTGCTCGGGGTGAACTCCCTGCAGCCGCTGCGGTCGCAGCACTGGGCCGTCTGGTTGTCCCTGCGGGCCTGGAGCAGCGAGACCCTCGGGGAGCCGCTGCAGTCCAGGGCGGTGCCGCCGGCGCCCGAACCGTACGCTCCCATGTGGCACGCCTGCGAGCAGCACCGCCGCTCCTCGCCCGCCCGCAGCCACGCCGTCTCTCCGCAGGGCACGCACGCGGACCGCGCCGCGGGCCTCAGCTGCACGAGGCCGGCCTCGTCGCCCTCCGAGGCGCAGTCGCCCTGGGGGGCGGTGGCCGCCGCGCCGAGCAGGCCGAGGAGACCGAGCGCGAGCCCGGGCCCGCGGCACGGCTCCATCGGCATCGCGCAGACAGGGGGCCTCGAGAGCCAAGAGTGCTATACGGATGGTCTTTCGGTCTTGCGGTCGCTCTCGGGGCCTCGGTGTGGCGTGGGAAGACAGGTTTCCGAGCCTGTGGGGCCGAGTTGCATCATCTTGCGCTACCTCGGAGGCAATCTTCGTGCATCTGGGGCCTGTGGCAATCTTGAGGCCATGTTGAGCGAACACAAACCCCAGGGGAGCCCCCAGAAAAGCCGTTGCTCTTGGGAGCACCGCTCCTCCATATGCACAGAGGCACGCGTCCTGCAAGCGGCACACACTGCGAGGGCTTGGAGGGCCCCCTCCCAAGATCTCATCGTCTGCGATGCCCCCACAAATTGGACCTCTTATGGCCCTGGCGCGAAGATCTACAGTGTAGGAAACACTCAACCCCGGGAAACCTCTTGGCGCTCTCTCGGGGGCCTCCGAGACGCCACTTTTAAGCTCCGTGTAGCGCTGATGGGGGCTCCGAACTAGCTCCAAGAATTGTCCGATGGCTGGACCGCGGCTACGCTCAAGAGCTCTCGCGTTCCCGCTGATGGGCCGCTCTTTCGAGCCTATTGGGGCCCTCTCGGGACCCTCCGAGAGGGCACTTCTCGGCTCCGGGTAGCGCTCAGGCGGCTACATCCACTTCAACTGTCTAGCACGGCCGTGGTGCCGATGGCTGATGGCTTGCAGTGAAAGGTGTATTCGAAAAATGATTTCCTAAATTTTTCCGTCGGCGGCGAGGCGGAGGCAATCCGCACCAACGTGGGGCTAATCGGGGCAACCGATCGGCAGTTCGTCCGGTGTGCCAGAGAGCGAGGCGAAGACGAGGGCGGCCGCGCGAGGGGTGGAGGGGGAGGGCGCTACGACGTGGATGGTTACCCAAACAGACGAGGGCGCCTGCGCCCTCGTCGGAGGAACCTGCGGGAGAGACCCCCCCCCATCTCTCCGCTCAATGGGCCCCGTCGCAACCCGTGCCGGGCTCCCGATCCTTCCAGTACATGCCGCCGATGCACTCCTGCTCCCTGGCGAAATACTCGCCCAGGGCAGACTGGCTAAACGCCTCCAGCGCCCCGAACATCATGGGTCCTCGGCGCCCGCCGAGGACGCACAGACGCTGCGGCGGCGGCGCCTCAAGCCGCAGAGAGCTGGCATGCCAATCGATGCCCCCGAGTCTCCGACGTCTGGACTTTGAAGATTCGGGAGAGGCCAAGAGGGGGGGTCCAAGAGGGGGGGGTGCAAATCATGACCGGCGGCATGTGCGCGGCCCAGCGAGGGGGCCAGGGACGTAATGAAATGAGAAGAGGCGCCATGAAATCTGGGGAAATATCATGGCCCCCGCCATGATATCCACCCCCCCGAGTCATCACCCCCCTCTTTTCCGCCCCCGAAAGATGCGGGGTCCCCAGAAATGTGGGCCACTTCACAGTGACCGGTTTCCCGTCCTGGATGGATGGCTTGCGGTCCTGGGGCCCTGCGAGGCCCCCCAACCGCCGAACACAGCGAGAAAACTCCGTCGTGTGAGTCTCAATGCGATGGGGAGTCCGGGCCTGTGTCTGGTGGCATCTGGGTGGTCAGAGACGACCACCCAGATGCCGCCAGTATCGATTTCGCGGGGGGGACGGTGCCCGGACAAAAAGTGTCCACACCCATGGCGGGAAGGCGACGCAACATGATAACAACCACAACTGCGAAATGCCCTTGATTCGCACCCCTCCCCCCTAAACCCAAAGTTGAAGTGTCCACACTTTGTCCCTGGCATTTGGCCTACCGCCACAACCCGTCAACCTTGAATTTAGGGGAAGGGGGGCATACACGTTGCTCCGACGTACTCGAATGACTCCAGGTCTCGGCGAGACACGTGTGGACACTCGTAGTCCACCCACCGGAGCGGGGGCATAATGCCCACACAATCTCCGGCTCAGGAGAACCTCTCTCCAAATCGCCCAGCACTGCCACAGCTCCTCCCCTGCCCCCTTCTCCTGCGAGCCACGGGAAAATCGGCCGCGCGCCCGGGCAGGAACGCAGAGGGGGCCGGCTTCCTCAGCAGGCGTCGATGCTTCTCAGAACCGTCCCACCCTCTAAAAGGACGTCCAGACCTTCCCCGAAGCCACAGACGGCTTCTCGGAAAGCAGAGAGGGCCTCTGAGAAGGAAGCCCCGCCGCCTTCTGCGAAGGCCCGCCTCCTCTCGGCCTTCCCCCCATCCCCAGTGGCCTGCCGCCTGTACAAGGCACCTGCATACTTCTGTGTGCCCCCCGTCCGTCCTGGCCTCGACTTGTGACTGCAAGCGAGGCGGCACAGGCCACAGTGGGCGCCCCCGTCCACGAAGCAGGCGACGCCCCTGGGAGGGAAACGGGAGCCCTACGGCACGAGGTGGCCTGTGCGAGCATCTCCGCGCCCCGTCTGCCCTCTCGGGCCTGCGCCAGCGAAGGCCTCGCCTCGGACTTGCAAATCAAGCCAGAACTCACGGCCACGCGAAACGAGCTCCACACTCCACATCGTGTTTTCATATCACGGGCAGCGCGATGTTGCAAGGGGGATGGGGACACTGATTGGAGACATACGGTGGCCCATGGAACTACCGAGCTATACTTTTGAAAGCAGTGCCTCCACACGATTGGCGACGAGGCACGATGATTCACATCGCCAACACGGGTGACAGATATGGTAAACATAGCTGCTCGGTCTGCGAACCACCAAATCCCTGTCAACCTTATCAAAACACTAGTATTGCCAACGTGACGCCCAAACAGCGCATCAGTGCGCTCTGGATGCGCAATATATGGGGTGCACTCTCTGTGGCGCAACTTACGTGGTGCAACGTATGAGTTCCAAGATACGCGGTGCGATCTAGGTGGCGCACAACAGGTAAGACAATCTAAGAGGTGCAAGCTATGTGGTGAAGTTATGTGGTGCAAATTGTGGTGCAATCTATCTGGTGCACGCTGCGTGGTACAAAAATGCACGGTATGAACTACATGGTGCAATATGAAGCGGACCCCACGCGGGCGCCATGGGTTGCGCGCAGTAGGTTGCGCCTGTTCCCACGGGGCATCAAGTCGCGACTGCCTCCACCTGTCTACATTCCATAGGTTGTGCAATAGGCTACGCGCCACAAATTGCGCAAGAGCTCACGTGGCACCACAACGGCCGGTGCATTAGCGCGTGCACCTTCATTCCAATGACTTCTTACTACCTTTGTTGTCTAGAGAATATGGACCTCACGTATTCGGTACGCGCTGTAGCTGCGCGAGCCTTCGGGCAGCAACGGCTTGTTGCAGTTCACGATGTAGGCCTTCTCACCTGTATGGTCCTTCAAGTGCTGGCGGAGCCTGGCAAATATCAATATCAATCACTCCCCAGTTGGATGAAGATGCAAAGACGCTACCATTCCAACCTGCTGCAAGAACAAAGGGGGTACATGTAAAACTTCCAGCGCGTCATATGACTGCTTTCTTGCCGCAACGGCAACGGCAAGGGCAGCGTCAAATAAAGGGAATGCCCAGCAACAGCTTGCACACATAAATCAAGCTACACCAGTCGTGCGTGTTCCTCGCGCGCGTGCGTTCAAGGTCTACGTAGCTAAAAGCAAAGTCATAAATAGCTCGAAAGGAAACGGATCTGAATCAGTAGGTGGATGAACAAATGCGTATTTCTATGCTTTGCGAATAAAGTGCATGACATGGTGAGGTTGGGCCGGCCACTTCTGAGTTCACGCCCCCGAGAGCAGAACATTCCTGCTCCCTTCGGGCCCCTTCCCCGCTCTCTCGCCCCCCACCCCATCTCGTCATCTCCTCTCCCTCCTTTTCCTCGCGTCCCCACTCCTCCCCTTAGGTCAATCTTGTATGTGTAGATATATACGTGTATACCTATGACTCTTTCTCTCTCTCTCTCTCTATATATATATATATATATACACACGTATGTGTATATATATATATATATATATATATATACACCCCCGCCTCCCATATGAGGGCCCAGGGGAGGCCAGGAAGAGGGGATCGGGAGGGGAGGACGGTACTCGCTGCACGCCTCGAGGGGGAACGCCGTCAGGAGAAGACCGGCTCAGAGGGGGGGGGGGGGCGGGGGACCCCTCACGTTTTGCCCCTGCGGGCGCTGGCTGCGCGCCGGGTGCTCTCGGGGGTGGGGGGGGGGGGCCGTGTCCCCCTAGAAACGTAGTCCTGCGGGGGGGGCGTGCGCCTGCGGGGCCCCCAGGGGACCGAGCTTCGGGCGTGGGGCGTGTGGCTGTCCACCCGTGCCCCACGAGGATGGTGAGACTGGGGCAGGGCCGCAGGCTCCTCGCCGTCCCGGCCTCCCTGCAGGGTGACCCGGCGGCGCAGGCATCGTTCTCACACTTCCCCCCCCCCCCCCCAACCAGTTCTCTCACAGTTGCGCCCTGTTCAGCAGGCGCAGTGGCTGGGAATTCCTGAAGTTCGCACTTTTACCACCCACGCTCCCGTCGGCGCAAGGCTTCAGTTCAGTCCAGTACCCCCCCCCCTCAATCCTCGATCCTCGATCCTTGTCGTCCTCGCCGTCCTCGTCGTCGTCGTCGTCGTCGTCGTCGTCGTCCTGCGCCTCCTCCTCTTCCTCCTCCTCCACCTCCCTCCTCTCCCTCCCTGTCTCGATCCTCGATCCTCGATCGTCGTCGGCGACTTCCAGAGACGGGCGCAGAACTGCGGCAAGTTCGTGTCGTGACAACGTGGGCGCTGGCCTCTGACACCGCGTGGACCGTTCAGCCTCGAATGATCGCGGCTCGCCGAAATCCCCGAGAAGCCAACGTTGGACGGATGGCCGCCGGTGGCGGCAGCCTTGAACGCCAGTGGTGCGGTCGTCGCCGAGTCAACACGACGCGAACCTACCGTACAATGATTCATATCATATTATCTGGTCCCCCCCTCCCCCCAAATCTGCGACGTCGCATTCTTGCTCACGGCGTGCACCCCCAGAACGATCGATTCTACTCCCGAGGCCCGTGCTCTTTCCGCTATGGGCTATGGGTCTTTGTGGATGGCCTTGCGGCGGAACCAGACAGAGGTCCTCCGGAAGCCCACGTCGGAAAAAAAGGAAGCACAGACCAGCACAGCAAAAACCATCGCCTGACACACCCCCCTTGGAGGCCTGAAGGGGATGAGCACCGCGTCCGGATCCACTTTCACCGTCCAGTCTGTCGTGCTCCAGCGATTGTCCGCCTTCACGGCGTCCCAGACCTGCACGCTCTGGCGGCATGATTTGGGCGAGGGGAGGCAACACGAGGTCGAGGAGGAAGAAGAGGGGGAATAACTGGTTTGCCCTGAATGCCCTTTGACAGCGATAACAGCGATTAACAACAACGATAACAACAATAACAGGAATACCAATGATCATTGTCATCGTTGTCGATGTGATCGTAGTGATCGTTATCCTTGTGAGCTTTATCGTTATGATCGTTATTGTTATCTTTATCGTCACCAGGGCTTGCCGGGCTTGCTACGAATTTGTCCATAGGCCCACCAGCTGCATAAAAAGAAGCGCGGCGCGGGCAGACGTGCCTGGATGCAGCCCGCCGCGTAGCTTGAGTAGGTTAGATCTGCAGGGAAACGCGGAAGCGAAAAGGAGTTCGCTGGAGTGTGAGAGGGCTTTCTCCTCCTCTCCGCAACCCCCTAAACTCAATGCGTGGAGGTGGGACGGCATCCCCCTAGAAGGTGTGACGACAACAGCTCTCAGCGGGTCATAGAGCATCCCATGACTGATCGCGAGGCAAGGTCGACAGATCTGGTACCCACCGTGCGATGGTCCTGCACGTGGGCCTGCGAAGTCCACGGTTCCGCGGGGAACTGTGACGTGTGACTGCGCACATGATGAATATCGTTGATCCGATCCCCATCCCCAGCGGCGTGGCCTGGGCCCCACTGGCCGACTTATCCCCCTAGATGGGGATATAGGTCGTTCCCTTCGGGTTTCGACGGGTGTATCCCCAACTGGGGGTTCGAAGGGGATGGGGATGGGGATCGGTTAAACGATACCGACATGGTCAATGGGGATGGCGTCCCAAAGCAAGTGGCTGTTGGTATTTCTTTCAATGCCCCGATTGCTCTTCAGGGTGGGCGGTCGCTGACGCCTCGAAGGGGGCCCCCGTGCGGTGGCCGGGTGCTCCGGTGGACGCCTCGGGGGCGCCCCGTGCGGCCCCTCGCGTTGTGGCCTCGTAGGGGCGCCTATGATCGCCCCGCGCGCTGGCTGGGCTTTCCTGGGCTCTCGCCCGGCAGGCGCCCGTGGGCCCCGCGCGGGCGCCGCGTGCGCTGGCTGACTTTCTGGGCATTCGCCTGGTGGCGCCCGTGCGCCCGCGCGCGCCACGGGGATGGATTCCTTAGCCTTGACAAGACTTGGACTCGCCCCTCGCCCCGAGGCCAGGGTTGGCGGTTCCCCTCCACATGCTGCATTGTCATATCTATCCTGCGCGATCGCTCATCCCAGAACACAGTACCATCCCAGCCTACCCTGGTATGGAGCCTCCCATCCCATGCCCAGAACAATACGGTGCACACGTGTTGATCGAAGACGTGCGTGTTGTAACAACCCCTTGCCACAACAACTATGAGGGTAACATGCACGCCGCGACGCGCATACACAAGCACATACATGTACACATGCATCCATCCGCCCATCCATCCATCCAACCATAAATACATACAAACGTACATACACACATACATACGTACATACATTCATCCATCCACTAATCCATCCATCCATACATGCATGCATACATGCATACCTGCTTACATGCATGCATACACGCATGCATGCATGACAGACATACCGCGCATATATATATATACATACATACGTATATACATGCATACACATACACACGCATACACTTATACATACGTGCATATATACATACATACATACATGCATGCATACATACAACCATACATACATACGCACGTACGTACAAACATACAAACACACACACATGCATGCTTGCATGAATCCATAGACACACATGCATACACGTAGACACGCATGCATCCATACGTGCGTACATACGTGCATGCGTACGTACATACATAGATGCTTGCATACATGCATACATGCATAGATGCGTGCCTGCATACACACTTGTCTACAGACATACACACATACATACGTACGTATGTGCATACATGCATGCATACATACACATATCCCTACATACACGCATACATACATGAATCTATACACACACGTACATCCATACATGCATCCATGTACATACATGTATATATGAACATATGCATACATGCATATATGCATATATATACACCAAACATACATCCATGCATTCATGCACACATGCATGCATGCATGCATATATAAATACATACCTACATGTATACACACATTCATTCCCATACCCATACCCATACCACTACCCATACGCATACACATACACAGAACACATACACATACACATGCACATGCACATACATGCATGCAGGTATGTATTCATCCATTCATGCGTGCATGCATACATACACACATACATACACACAGACATACCGATATACCTACATACATACGTACGTGCGTGCATGCAGGCATGCATGCACGTATGCATGCATGCTTGCGTACATGCACACATACACAGACATGCATACATGCATCATTGAATACATGCATGCATGCATACATACATACGTACACACACGCAACAGCCAGCGGGTGCCCAACAACTCTGCTGTTTGACAACAGGCTGCGCACTCGCCGACCTCAAAACAGAAACCACGCGTGCTTAGCCACTCCGCTGCCCCCGCCAGGCGGGCCCACGGCCGGACGACCGCCGCCCCTGCCGCTGCCGGCGTCCGCGCCCACCCTTGCGCGCAGCAGCAGCGGCGCCCGAGGACCGCCGTGCCGCGCTCTCGGGCGGAGCCGGGGACCAGCAGCGCCGCCGCCGTCGCCGCCAAGAAGCCAGCCGCCGCGGAGGACCCCCAGGCCAGCTGAGGCCGTGCTCAGTGAAGTGTGCTCGGGGGCGCCCCCCCGCCGCCAACCCCGTCCCACAGACCGGAACTGTCGCCACTCGAAGAAACGCCAGCTACGTGCGGCAGACCTGGGCTCGTGCGTCCCGCGCACTTCTTGCGCTTCGGGGCCCGATCACTGACCAGCTCCGGTTACCCCGGGTCCTGGCGGTGTCCGAGGCCAGTCCGCCTCCACCCGCCGCCGCAGACCTCGACCATGGACGCGAGCAGTCCGCAGCCGAGCTCGACCCGGCAGCGTCCCGCCTGCCGCGCCTCGGCCTTCCCTCCCCGCCCCCCCTCGCCGAGCAGCTCGCCGACGCGCCGCCTGGATGGCATCCCGTCCACCCCTCCAGACCTCGGGAGACACACGCCCGGGGGGGTGGGCACCATGCTGACCCTGCCATTGGGGCTGTAGGCGGAGATGCCTGTGGGGTCGCTGTCCTCGTCAGGGGTGCCACCCGGGTCAGAGGTGGAGCTCTTTCTGAGGGCGGTAGTTGGAGCTACCACTGGTGGCTTGAAGACGTGGAAGGAGCGGGCGAGGTGGGCGGGAGGCCGCCATGCCGTCACCGCCAACGCCAATGGAGCTCGTTGTGGGGCCTGAAAAATGTGGCAAGGGCGAGCGACATGGGCGGGGGCCGCATGTGGACGCACCCGCTGGGGCCTCTGGTGGCGCCGCCTTTATGCGGCCTGAAAGACGTGGCAGGGGCGAGCCGTGTGGACGCACTGCAGGCCGTGTGGACGCACTGAGGCCTTCGGCGGAGCTCCCTGTTCCTTCTTCCCGCGGGAGTAATTACGGCAAGTTCGTGTCGTGACAACCCCTGCGCTGGCTTCTGCCACTGCGTGGACCGTTCAACCTTGAACGACCAGCGGCCTTTAGATCGCCCGCTCGTTCCATGAGGGCCGATTCTGGGCCACTGGCGGCGTTCAAGCTTGAACGTCCGCGGCGGGGTCGCCGCGGGTCGACACGACGCGAAACTGCCGTATATCAACATGGTGTTAGCAAACGCACGTGCCGTTCGCATCACGAGCGAGGTCGCGACGCAAATCCGCAACCTCATTTGCTGGGTGAATGCCGATGCTGCACATGAGGATTCAAACTGATGCCAGAAGACAAAATGCACCAGCCGCGAGGGGGGAAGAGGAGAGAGACGGAGGAGAACATAAGAGCGAGAGGATAACGGATGGATAGATTGAACCGTTGTGCATTTCCCCATGATCCGAACGATCATTCATATAAACGGGCATGACAAGACATGAAACAAGGACCACAACACAACACAGTACCTCATCCTCTGGAATATACCCCAAATTCCTGGACATGCCACTGGCAAAATGACTGGGCGGTATGTGCTGAAATGGGTGCAAGCACTCACCCATATGTGCATTCGGTGGAGCTGCCTACTGGGCCTGGAAAACGAGGCAGGCGAGCGACATGGGCGGGGGCCGTATGTTTACGGCCCCACTGAGGCCTTGGGTGGAGCTCCTGATGGAGCCTGGAAAACGTGGCAGGGGCGAGCGAAATGGGCGGCGGCGCTGCGTACGGACGCACCCACTGAGGATTTCCTACGTGGCTACGAAACGTGTGCAGGGTATGCCATTTTACAAATCCAGCCATGTGGGCCGTCCGCGGAGCTCCTACGGGGCCACGGAGCGTTTGATGGGTGTGCCAGACTGGGAGTGGCCAAGCATTGAATCTTGCCATGTGGGCCTTGTGTAGAGCTTCTCAGGGACCACGGGTCGTGTGGGGAGGGTTTGCCAAGCTTGGCACGGCCAACGATACAAGCCATGCCATGTGAGTATGGTGTGGATCCTCCATGGTGCCACGCAACGTGTGGGAGATGTGCCAAGATGGCCGTGGTAAGGCATGCGACCCCTGCCTTGTGGTCATTATGTAGAGCTTCTACGGGGCCACGCATCATGTGATCAGTTTGCCAAAGTGGCTTTGGTCAAGCATACGAAAAGTGCCACGTGGGCCGCCTGTCATTCTTCTATGGGGCCACGAAGAGTGTGAAGAATGTGCCAGAATGGGCTTGGCCAGGCAGGCGAATCCTGTCATGTGGGCCTCATGTGGGTCCCCTGTGGGGACACGAAGCGTGTGAGGTGTGTGTATGTGCCGAAGTAGAGACGTGCGGAGGCAGAAGCAACAAGAGGAGGAGGGAGGAAGAGAGGAGGGGAGATGCGAGGATCTACGCGGGAACCTTCTGATTCAAGACGAGGACCCAGCACAACAGGGTGGCAGAGACAGATGCAATCATAATTTCTGCGCGCGCATGTTCCCACCATCCTCACCAGCTCCGTCATTCTCACCATCACCAGCATCAGCATTGTCATCTTTACCATAACCAGCATTATCGTCGTCGTCACCATCACCACCGTCCTCATCCTCGTCATCGTCGATACCGTCCTCGTCAAAGCTCTGCACGATTACTTCCTCACCGTCATCACCAGAGTCATCATTGCCACTGCCAATATCATCACTATCAACTTCATCACCATGGCCATCGGCATCGCGAATATCGTCCCCACCGTCATCATGGCCATCAGCATCGTCAAAATTATCGTGGTTGCAGCCATGCTGACAGTTGCGAATGAGTTGCGGGCGGGTGGGTGGGAAGTCCCACCAGCCCTCTGGGCCCAGGTGGTCGGGCGAGCTTTATCTTCCAACCCCCTTCTTCCCCTTCGGGAAGGGTCTTACCATACCCCCTCCCCTTGGCCTGAAGAGGGGGGGGGGGCGCGAGGCGTTGGGGCGTCTAAGGTGGCCCAAGATGGTTCCAAGAGGGCCTCAGAGAGCCCAAGATGACCTCCAATATGGCTCAAGCTAGCCTAAGCTGGTTCCAGAAGGCTCCCAAGATGCCCCTAGAAGCCCCAAGGCCGCTCCAAGACGGCTTCAAGTGGCCACGGAACCTCCCCAGGAAGCCGCCAAGAGGCAAGAATCCTTCAAAAACCTAAGGCACATCAATGAATGTGGCTTTCTCGATTGTTTTGCTTTCGGTGGCCTTCCGAGGCCTCAAGATGGCTCCAGGAGGGCCCATGTGGGCCCCAAGAGAGGCCCAAGAGAGCAACAAGACGGGCCCGAGGGCGCCCAAGAGCGCTCCAAGAGCGCCCCAAGAGGGGCCCAAGACGCGATCCCCAAGAACGACCCCAAGGCTCTCAAGGGCCCCTCAAGACGGCCCCAAGATGCGCCCAAGAGGCGCCTAAGAGGCATCCGAGAGGCTCCCAAGTGACCTCCAAGCGGCCCGAGAAGCTCCACGATGCCCCCAAGACGCTCCAAGAGGCCCCAGGGACCGCCAAGAGGCACCCAAAACGCTCCACGAGACCTTCACTGGGGGACCCTTTCTCTGTGTGCTGCCCACTTCCCTGATCGAGGCAACTCCTCTGGACATCGTTTCTGGATGGGCTGGCGGGGTTGCGCGAAGCGTCTAGAATTTGTAGGAGCAGCGGAGGTGGTCACACGCGCGGGCGCGGGCAAACTTAATTGCACCTCCTAGGATGAACAAGGTCGATTCTTATTTCTCAGAAAACAATAGACTCACCCCCCGCGGGATTATCGGTACCCCTTTTTCCCATTGCAACTTGCATATGATTGTGCCCCATCGCCCATCCGAAATATGAGCTCATACCAGCCCGACCGGCACCGACCCCCCTGTCACCCTCTGCAACAATCTACTATGCGTGCACGCTCGCTGATCGAAGGTCATACGTTTGCAATAATGCGTTGCAGCACAAGAAACGAAGTGGGCACGCTCGCGTCGTCGCGCGCGCATAACAATAAACACACACGCACGTAGTTTCACACCACGGATTTGCAAACAAACGTACGCGCGCTCTTGCGAATTCTTGGGGAAAAAAGTTGCCCAACATTTTCAGAGCATGCTACCAAATTGGCTTCGCGCGCGCATGTCGAAATCGTTCGAACGCCCTTGCGCGCCTGCCGTCGCGAAAATTCGTTGCCCCCCCAAAAAAAAAGGTGAAGTGCACGCGCGCGCGTCGTCGCGCGCGTATGCCTAAATCCTTCACGAACCTTCGGTTTCGTCACGATTTGCAAGCCGAGCGCCCAAACAGCATGCAAACACACATGGTTTCGCAACACCAGCTGTCCAAACAGATTGCGCGCACGCTCTTGCGAACTCTGAAGAAGGTTTCAACATGGTCATAGAATTCTGTCAAACGGGCCTCTGGCGCCGCATGACGACATCATTCGCACGCCCTTGCGCTCGTGCTGGCGGGGCACGATCCGTGTCGAATAAAACCATGCGGGCCACTCTCGCGCGTCGGCCGCGCGTGCATGTCGAACTGTCTCCAAAACGTTCATCACCGACGCGAGGACGCCGTCATCGTCGTCGGCGTGATCAGCATCAGCGCCCGCACTGGCCGCGCCTTCGTCGGTGATAACATCGTCCCCAGCACCGCCCTTCGTCGGTGCGAGCATCGGTGCGAACATCGTCGGTGCGATCATCGTGTCTACCGACTATTGCTATGGTACCGCGCCCGCCCAAGTCGCCAACTCGCAGTGAAGTGCCCGTTGGGATGCGCCCAGAGGTCAGCACCGCCGCGGCCGCGTCGAAGGCGCCAAACTAGCTGGCCGCTGCGCGCGCGCGTGCTAGGGTGGGCGCGGCCGCAGAAATGGACCAGCCAACGCCAAGCATGCATCGCAATCGCCACCGCATGGGTTTGCAAACCGAATTGCAGGTAGGTGGGATGTTTGCAAGAGCATGGGATGTGCCAACTCGTTTGCTAAAACCATTCTCCTTTCTAGAAACAGAATAGGATCCCCCCCTGGCGTTATCGGTACCCCTTTCAGGTATGTAAATCAAATATGCTTCTGACCACGTGTCCACCCGAAATGTGAATTTACACTATTCCAGGCCGGCCGGTATGCCCCCCCGAGGTTCCCTGATAAAAAAACACTATGCGGTGACTTGTTTTGTTCTATCATAGCACTTGTTCGCGAATCCCTTGCAAAACGTGGGGCGAAGTGCACACGCGCGCGTTGTCGCGCGCGCATGCCACAATCCTTCAAAAACCTTCGGTGCCGGAAGGATTTCGCAATCGAGTAAAACATACAACAACACTGGGTTTCGCAACACTGGTTTGCTAAAAAAGCTTCCGCGCGAGCTCTTGCGAAATCTTAAGAAAACCATAGGTTCTTCAAGATTTTCACAAAATGCCAACGGGCTTCGCGCGCGCATGTCGAAATCTGTCGAACGCCCTTGCGCGTGTGCAGTCGCGAGAATCCTCTGCAAAAAACTGGACGAAGTGCAGACGCGCGCGTCGTCGCGGGCGTACGCCGAAAACCTTCCAAACCCATAGGTTTCGGAAGGATTCCAAAATCGTGTACCCAAAAAACCTACAAAAACCCAAGGTTTCGCAACACGGATTTTCAACAAAAGCGTGCGCGCGCGCTCTTGCGTCGTCGTCGACGTCGTCGCCGTCCTCCCTCCTCCCGCGTCGTCGTCGTCGTCGCCTACGTCGTCCTCTGTCTTTCCTCGAGTTCGTCGTCGTCCTCCTCTTTGGCGTCGTGGTCGTTTCCGTCGTCGTTGTCGCCGTGGTCGTCCTTCCTCCTCTTCCCTCGTGGTCGTCGTCGTCGTCCGTCGTCGGCGTCTCGTCGTCGTCCCTCCTATTTCGTCGCCGTCGTCGTCGTCGTCGTTGTCGTCGTCGTCTTCCCTCCTCCCTCGTCGTTGTCGTCGTCGGCGTTGCCGTCCTTCCTCCTTCTTCGTCGTTCGCGTCGTTGCCGTCCTCCCTCCTCCCTCGTCGTTGTCGTCGTTGTCGTCGTTGTCGCCGTCGTCGTCCTTCCTCCTCCCTCGTCGTCGCCTTCGTTGGCGTCGTCGTCGTCTTCTTCGTCGTCGTCGGCGTCGGCGTCGTTGTCGTCGTCGAAGTCGTCGGAGACGTCGTCGGTGTCGTCGTAGTCGTTGTCGTCGGTGTCGTCGTAGTCGGTCTTAAGAGGTTTTGCAAACCAAGTTGCGGGTGGGTGGGTGGGATGTTTGCGCGAGCAGTGGAGATGACGACTTCAAGATCAGCAGAGTGGACTGCACCCAATAGAACGCACGACGCACATAGTTGACCTGCATGCGTTGACGCTGGCGAGCGGATGCGAACAAAAACAAGCCTGTCTGATATGGTCTTTTCGAGTACCATATACTCCGCGAACGCCAGGGCAAACAACACCACCGTTTACCACGGGGCCGTCGGAACAGTTACTAGCGCGGGACTCTGCAAAAGGCCGCGGGGGAAGGCAGGACATGCATGAAGAGCTCGGCGTTGCCGGAGGTGCCGTCCTTGCTGGTCGTGATCTCGGCGGGCTCAAACTGAGGCGTCTCCGATGTTTCTTGCTGTGCCGCCGATGCCGCTCGCTGCACATGAGGGGTCAACGTGCGGGTGCACGCGCTCCTCCTCCTCCTCCTCCTCCTCCTCCTCCTCCTCCTCCTCCTGGTCCTCCTCCTCCTCCTCCTACTGTTGCTGCTGTTGCTGCAGCAGCGCCCGACGCCTCCCCGGCAGAAAACAGTGCGGGTCCTGGATGGTTGTCACCTTGCCTGAGGGCCCGATGCCAACGACAGTGGGCTCGGCGGTGCTGTATACGGCGTACTCGTCGCACTCGAAGATGCCAGAGCCGCGCTCGATCTGGCCCTGCGTGGGAGGCATACCCATGAGAGCCAGGGCGGGGAGGTTCAGAATCCTGCGTCGAGAGGTCTTGGGGACGGACGGTAGACTGGGCGGAGGAGGAGAAAAGGAAGGAGAACGAGAGTTAGTCGTCGCACTCGAAGATGCTGGAGCCACGCTCGATCTGGCCTTGCGAAAAGGAGGCAGGTCCGTGAGAGCCAGGGCAGGGAGGTGGAGGATTCTGCTTCGAGAGGCTCTGGGGACGGACACCACAGTTGGCGGAGGAGGAGGAAAAGAAAGGAAGGCAAGAAGAGGAGGAGGATGAGGAGGATGAGGAGGAGAAGGAGGAGGATAAAGAGGAACATCGCACGGCTTCGGAATAACCATCGCACGGCATATGAAGGATCCACGAGAGCAAAGATGGGGAGGCGGAGCGTCCTTCTTCCCCGGACCTCCAAAGTATTGACTCATCTCAGCGAAGGGCCCAACCACATGCAGTTGTGAACACTGATCTCGTGAATATAGCCTTCGGTGGAGCTCCCTATGGGGCCACAAAGCGTGTGAGGGGTGTGCCGAAATGGGGGTGGAACTGCATGCGGACCCTGCCACTGGGGCATTTGGTGGAGCCGCCTATGGGGCCACGAAACATACATGTGAAGGGTGCTCCGACATTGGGCGGGTACCTCATGCGAACCCTGCCACTGGGGCCTTCGGTGGGCCTCGCTGTGGGGCCACGAAACGTGTGAGGGCTGCGGCGGGTGGAACTGCATGCGGGCCAAGTCACCGAGGCCTTCGGTGAAACTCCCAATGTGGCCACGAAACGCGTGACGGGTGTGCCGAAATTTGGCGGGCACCGCCTGCGGGCCCTGCCACTGAGGCCTTCGGTGGAGCTCCCTGCGGGGCTGCGAACACGTGTGATGGTGCGTGCCGATTTGGGGGGGTGCCGCATGCGGAGCCTGCCACTGGGGCCTCGGGTGAAGCTGACTACGACATGGGCACGAAGCATGCAGAGGGTGTGCCCAACTTGCGCAGACACAGCACGCGGACCGCGCCACTGGGGCCTCTGGTGAAGCTCTCTGTGGAGCAACGAAGCGTGTGAGGAGAATCCCCAAACGGGGGGTAGAGCCGCATGCGGATCCTGCCACTGAGGCCTTCGGTGGAACTTCTGATGGGGCCACGGTCGTCAGAAAAGTGCACCGAAATGAGGTGTGGAACCGCATGCGAACCCTGCCACTGAGTCCTTCGGTGGGCTACTTTTTGGGCCACGACTCGTGTGACGGGTATGCCGAAACTGGGCAGGTACCACATGAGGTTCCTGCCCATGGGGCCTTCGGTGGGACCCACAACGGGGCAACGAAGCGTGTGAGGGGAACCGCATGCGGACCCTGTCATTGGAGCGTTCGGTTGAGATCCTTACGGGGCCACGAACCGTGAGAGCTGTGCGCCGAAAGGGATGTGGAACTGCATGCGGACCCTGCCACTGAAGCCTTCGGTGGAGCTTCCTATGGGGTGCGCCGACATGGGGGGTGGAACTGCATGCGGACCTTGCCACTGGGGCCTTCGGTAGAATTTCCTGAGGGACCACGGAGCGTGTGATGGAGGCAACGTAGTTGGGGTGGAACCGCATGCGGACTCTGCCACTGGGGCCCTAGGTGAAGCTCCTTCTGGCCCAACGAGACGTGGGAGGGGTGCGCCGACATGTGGGGTGGAACTGCATACAGACTCTGCCACTGAGGCATTCGGTGGAGCTCATGTGGGGCCACGAAGCGTGGGGGAGTGCGGCGATAGGGATGCGTGGGGACCCTGCCACTGTTGCCTTCGGTGGAGCTCCTTGTGGCGCCACGGCGCGTAAGAGGGGTGCGCCGAAATTGAGGGGGAACAGCATGCAGACCATGCCGCTGGGGCCTTCGGTGGAGCTCCCAATGGGACCACGAAGCGTGCGAGTGATGTCCGAAATGAATGCGGCGCCGCCCTGCGGACCCTGCCGTGACGTCCTTCGGCGAAGCTCCTTCTGGGCCCCCGAAACGTGTGATGGGTCTGCCGAAGCCGAGGCATGGGGGAGGAGGAGTAGTGCTAATGTTGATGATGGTGGAGGTGATGGTGATGGTGATGGTGATGGTGACGAAGACGGTGACGGTGATGTTGGTGGTGGTGGTGGTGGTGCTGGTGGTGGTGGTGGTGGTGGTGGTGGTGATGATGATGATGATGATGATGATGATGATGATGATGATGATGATGATGATGATGATGATGGTGGTGGTGGTGACGCGGATGGAAACGAGAATGAGGATGATAACAGTGATGCCGATGACGATGAGGACATGCGGAGGGCTGAGGGAAGGATGAGAGGAGAGGGAGGATGTGGCAGCGAGAGGGACGAAGGAGGGGACGCGATGCCGTGTCTCTTCAAAACGAGAAATTGAAACAAAGTCACGAACGCGTAGTTTCGCCGTTCTCAGCCTCTTCAGGCCCTCGGCGGGCCCCACTATTATCAGAACACGATCGGGGACAACAACTGGTCCCAGGAAAGTGGTCCAGCGTTTCGGCCCTCGTCCCTTTCGGCCTTCGGGCCCTTCGCCGCTCGTCGGCTTTGCAGGGAGCTGAGGCTAGTCGTCAGCCCGCGTCCAAATAAAAGTTCAGAGACACCGATTTCAAACATTATCCATGCGATGGGCCCAACCATATATAGTTGTGAATGCCGCGTTGTGGGACGCGCTCGGTGGAGCTCCTTTATGGGGCCACGACGCGCGTGAGGGGTGTGCCGTAATGGGTGGGAGGGGCGCATGCGACCGGGGCCATTGGCGATTTCGGTGGAGCTCCTGATGGGGCCACAAAGCGCTGTACTGGGTGGGGGAGACGTATGCGAACTGTGCCACTGGGGCCTTAGGGGCCACCTGTTTACGGGGCCACGAAACGATGAACTGGGTGGGGGGGGGGGGCGCATGCGAACTTTGCTTCTGGGGCATTCGGTGGAGCTCCCTGTGGGGCCACTAGGCGCTGTCCTGGGTGGTGGGGACGCATGCGAGATTTGCCACACGGGCCTTCGATTGAGCTCCCCACGAAGCGCTGTACTGGGCGGGGGGGGGGCGCATGTGCACTTTCCCACCGGGGCCTTCGGTGGAACTCCCTACGGGGCGACGAGGCGCTGTACTGGGCGGGGGGGGACCATGCGAACTTTGCCACTAGGGGTCTTTGGAGGAGCTACCTATGGGGCAACGAAGCGTGTGAGGGGGTGTGCCGACATGGTCGACTGATGCGGAAAGCACAAGGAGGGGGAGTGAGGGCAGGGGGGGGAGGAGGGAGTGAGACGCGGGGCGCTATCTCTTCAGAACGAGGACCCAACACCGCAGGATGGTTGGGAATCCAAACAACGACTGTCTAGGTCGGCTGGCTTGGGGCACGAACAGAAGAAATGGCGGAGGGGGAGCAGGAATCACAGGAACACCAGACGAGGAAGAGGATGAGGAGGAAGAGGAGGAGGAAGGGTCCAAATTTAATGTTCTGGAGGTCCCACGGCCCTCGGGCAGAACGGGATAATATGTATCTCACGCTTTCAGTGGACAGCGGCGGCGTGGGAATGCACAAATTCGTTTCGATGCGCTGGCTCATGGTTCGCCCCGTTCGCTCCCCATGCCTTCCGCCAGCATCCCAAATGCCTCTGGTAACCCACATGACTGCCATGCTCATCCAAAGTGTGTTCGTTGGCTCGCCCTGCGAAAGAGATGATGCGCACCCCTCCGGATTGAGGTTCTCGACTTGAGACCCGCGTCCGATCGAGCACTGTGCGCATGCATGGAGACTCCCTTGGTCCACACCTGAGGAATGGCGTCAGTTAGGCTGTGCTAGATGCATGCGCTCTTCATAATTCATTACAAGTCCCGAGTCGTGCATCGAACATATGGCGCACCACACACCACCAATTCATGCGTGAGAGAAACACACAAGTTGGGTACTGGGTGCATATGGGTGCATGCGCTAACGATGACGCCCGTGCGTTAGGATCGCGAAGATACATCTAGCAATGCATTGTCAGCGCATATACAGAGGGGGGACCTGATCACTCGGGCAGCTGGCGAAGCTAGAATCAATCATGCGGGGCCCAGCGCGGAGAGGGCACAACGTGCAGGATATCGCTCGCTTCACTGGCGCAATCCGGAACGCTCCAGTAGGATCACGCCTGGCCGGGGGGGTGCAGGGACCTCGAGGATAGCGGATGGCAGCGCCTCCCTCGCTGTGGTACGCCGGCTGCGCCGAAGAGCAGGGTCAGGCCGAGGGGAGGCGCGCATCATGGCCCGGGGCGCGGGCGAGTGGCCAAGAGACGTGTCGTCATCGGAAGGTGGGGCTGCGGGCAGCAAGTTCCCCAGAGCGAGGCAGGCTCTGCACGGGAGGCACGATTGCTTCACGGACGCTCCCACGGGCAGGCGTCGGAAAGCGCGCCGAGCACGCCGACCTTCGACGGCGGAAGGGGCCGACGCTCACTGCCTCGCTGCCCGGGCCTCTCCGCGCCGCGGCCCCGCGGGCCAAAGGGGGCGGCCATGTGCGGATGCCCCGCGCGGCACGCCTAGGTCCTCGGAGCAAGACTGGCTGGAAGAAACGGATAGAACAATACCTCGGCGGAGGACAAGCCTCCCTTTAGTGAACCACCCTT